AAGATTAGATTTGTCAGAATTTCAAAAAAGTATTGCAATTTTTAAAAAATATATTTTTTTTTTAAAAAAAAAAATAGATTAGATTTGTTAGAATTTTAAAAAAATATCACAATTTTTAAAAAATATACTTTTTTTTTAAAAAAAAATACTGTAATATTGAAGTGAGATTTTCTTTCAGAAAGTAAACTTTCACATTTTTTTATTATAAATAAAAAACAAAATAGAAAAAAATAAAGGTAGTTTTAAAAGATCAAAAACTAAAAAGTAGCTACATAATTTTCAGAAGTTTTTTAGTTTGATAAAAAGTGAGACTAATAAATCAAATGCTAAGGCAGTTTGTATATATTGTATTAATAAAAATAATAGTATACAAGTAGCACAATATATTTCAAATTGTTTTATAGCAAATAGAGCTAGATTATATCAAGCACATTTAATTGGTTATGATAATTTTAAAAGTACATATATAGAAGAAGAAGTGCAAAATATTCTTTTATAACCAGTTCTAGAAGATAATAAGCAATATAATAATGATATAAAAGGTAATTATATTATAATAATATATTTTAATATTCATTTCAAATATTAAAATAATTTATTTTAATTTATAGATAAGAAGATTAATGAAGAAAAAACTGCATTATATTCTTCACTTGCTAAAAAAAGGAAAGACTCTACATCAACAATTAATATAATATTAATTAGTATTTTTGATCAGATTTCTTTAACTAATTATTTTAATCATCCAATGTCTAGCAAAGATTTACCAAAATTTGAAATGCTTTTTTACGAATGTAAGTTTTAAATGGTTTACCATTTACATTTATAGAAAATTCAGAAACTTGTGTATTATTTAATTTTATTACACTAATTTAAAACTATCATTTTGAAAAAAATTAAAAGCGTCAATTTTACTTAACTCATTATATAGTTTATAAGAAAATATTTTAAAATCCAGTAATTTATTGTAGGGCAGTGTATTTAAAAATATTTCTAGGTGATCTTCCAAAATCTAAAGGCATATTTTCTGTTATTTTGCATTATTATATCAATTTTTTCCTATGAAGATTTTGATAAGATGAAAGGTATAGAAATATTTCGATCATTTTTAAAAAATTAATTTATCCATAATTTAAACATATGTGATGTTGATACCTTATGAAATCAATTTTACTACATTACAAAGATTGATAAATGATCAATGTTATTAACATAATTAGCATTTTTAACTTAATTATATTTTTATTTTATTTATTTTATTCATATATTATATTATTATGATTTATTATATTATTATTATCATTAAATTATAATTTATCTTTTATATTTATCTTAGCATTATAAAATAGTTTAGCATTAGATAGTAATTTCTTATAATTGTATTTTTAATTTTTTTTTTTTTTAATATTTGATTTTTTAATTACTTAAAATTATTTTATTAAAATAATTGAATTTTTTTAATAGTATTCATTAATAAAAATTCTAATAATCTGATAATTTTAAAATTTTGAATCAATTTTCTAATATATATATAATTAAGTTATAAAGCTAATAAATTATATATTATCTATAATAAATAAAAAAACTTTATGCTTAATAATTTAATTATAAAAATAATTTTTAAAATTTTATGATAAATAGTTTATTTATATAAAAAACAAAATTAGTTTTCTTAGGTGTTGGTGTGTTTAATAGAAATTGGAGATCGTTTTATGTACGTTCAGTCCATTTGTTCACTTTATCCCAAAGTATCTGAAAGATGGAAGAGTTAAGGGCCCTGTATAAATTTCCCTTAAGGGTACAAGGACTAAGTGTAGAGTATAACAGGTATAAATCATCATATCAGCATTCAGTTGAACGTCAACTCATAATTCTAACATATATTATTATCATACCAAATTAAGGTTTATCAGCAAAAGAAAGTTTTCAGGCAACCTTACGAAGAATACGCAATAGGTTTTAGTGCGATCCTTCGACTACATATAAAGTCATTTAAAGTTCAAATTTAATTTTCAGATAATAGCAACTTTTCAAATAGAATGAAAATCTTCTGAAAATAGGTTGCAAGATAGATTCAAAAAATAAATTTGAAAAGATACCCGCGTACTATGAGAAGCAGTGCATATCGGAAAAGGGCTATATTTTTCTAAAGCAAGGTCAAATTACTTATAACTGTATCGTATGTCTTTCTTGCAGCCGGAAAGTTAGCTATACTAACATAATTTATGAGAAAATCCGCATATATTTATGTTTTATATTTTAACTAATACATTTAATTTCTTTTTAAAAAATAATAAATTATCATATAGATTAAATTTATATTTGTAAATTTTATTTAAGTTTTAATTATACATATGCAAAGGACTTTACAATGTCGCCGTCAATTTTCTCTTCTTATGTTTTTGGTATTGTAAAAAGGCATCCATTGTTTAATTGCCAAATATTTGTATCTTTAATTTTAATTTCCTATTTAGGATACCATGATAAATATTCACGATTAACTTAAGTGTTCGGTATGAATGCTATTTTGCTTGTTCGACTCTTATTCAATGTTTCGTACAAGCCTTAGATGTTGCTCTATATCGACCAGAAATTCTTTCAATTCCTTTAACAAATGGTTACGACCGTATTCTAGTCATTCGCTATGCATATTTCGATTTTTATTACCCATCTTTGAATGAAATGACAAAGCATAGGTAAAAAGATTAATCAATTGTTCTTTGAGTTTTATAATCTATGATTTGTAATACAGTTAATGGACGTTTTACATTATAAACAAATCACGAGAATTAGATACCCTACTTCTTACTGTGTTGAATTCCTAATCATCCTTTCATTTTCTATCTAAGCATATACACCAATTATATAATCTTCTTAAGTTGTTTCGGTTTCGGACTTGTTGTAATACTTGCGTCCGTTTTCACTCTTTGCCTCCTTTCATTGATGGTCTACTTTACACGGAGCTTCTTAAAGGTCCTAATTGCATTTATATAATAAATATTAATATATTTTTAAAGTGATAGTTCATTGATTAATCGAATGTGATTCAGATTTACATTTTTTTATTTTCATTTATACAACTTATTTTTTTCAAAAAGAAACTTTTCTAAATTATAAATCAATAAAAAAAAAATAATAAAATGACATTAAAAATCCTTAATGTTTGTATATAAAAAAATTTGATCCTTCTATATACCGAACTTTTGTTCCTGAGCGCGATTTATTATATAATGAACTCACAATATGACGAATTCTTTCACATCACGTGATATATAATCATCAAAAATTCCTTCGTTATACCAGATTTTTTTCCGATTCTTCGCTGTAAGATTATAACGAAAGCTGACTGTAATTGGAATTTCAAGAAATTTGGCGTCAAAATATTTAAATATTTATGCAAAGGAGAAGTATGGCTATGTTCCTCCGCCCCTTACCGACTTATCCAACAATGCGCCTCACCTTGCAACACAAACATTTGACATGATTTAAAGTTGTAACTAGTTTTATTTCCGGATTTCGTTGAAAATGACGATTTCTTTGTGTTATGATCAAAGGAGGAAAGAGTTAAGGAAAATGTATCAGAATTGACACGCCATCTACCATGAGTTAGTAATAACCTGATAATTCAAGTCGTTTATTTGTGTAGGCTTATAAGCAATGACAAAGTGCTGTTTATTGTAACATCTCGCATCATGTGACCGCAAATATTCTGGGAAAATTTTATTTCATGTATTACGAAACGTTGCACAAACATTTTCATATTTGAATAGAAATAAAAAAAACAGTTAAATTCATTCAGAAAAAAAAATTGTCAGTATAAACACAACTATTGAATATTCAAAGCACAAAACTTTATGTATCCATTCCTTCTTAAATGGATCGTTGATATTATACATTGACGAATTTTCTTCAAGTTCAAATTTTTATCTTTATGCATTCATAAATACAAAAATTATAGAAGAAAATTACGAAAAAGTAAAAACAAAGTTTAAGATCATCATAACTCAATAAAATTTATAAATAATATTTATTTAGATCTTTATAACTCGAAAAAAAAATAATGTTAATTAAAAATATTATTAATGAAAAAAAAAATGCCTCAAAAGTTTTACGTAGATTCAAATTTTAATTTAAGAATTGCTACACCATTCACTTGCTATCCAGCTCAAACTCGAGACTATAAATTTATCTTCGAATTACAAGTATTTTTTTCTGAACATTCTTTTTATGATAAATACAAGTAAATCGTGTATAATAAAGAATTATCATGTGTTCCAAGATCAACAAATTTCCGCCACACAATAACAATTGTGTAATATTTTAGAGCACAGCCATATTTCCATTATCTTTGCTGGCTCTCCTATTTAAGACCAAGATTTCTGACATTGATAAAACCAACAAAAAAGAATTAATCGTTCAATATGAATATACACATTCACTCAATATAGTGATCCTTCTTATTTAAATGGTCGAAGGCTAACTTAAATAAAAACTAAATCCAATCATCTTTTGTACAAATATATTTTTAAATATATCAACACTTGCATTACTTATACTCAAAATTCCGAAATTCCGAAATCCTATCAATATTAAAATAAATATTTTTAATAGCTAAGCATTAAATTTGACGTTAAGCGCGTCGAAAAGACCCATGCGTTATTTCACGGAATTAGATTGGGTCAACTTTTATTAAAAAAAAGTCAAAAAATTAATTGCAAGAGAAAAGACTTTCAAGATATTAAACCTAAGAGTATGACCCCAATTTAATTGAATTAAAACAACATTTGAATCTGCTAAAGTTCGTTTGATTCAACATAAAATAAGAAAACCATGGGCAAAAATTATCCTCAAGAAACTTTATTTTCTCATAAAAAGAAGGAACTGCTCAATTTGAAATAAGAAGAATGAAATTATTTCATTACCTTTCAATGTTGCAAAGTAATTTAAAACAAATTAAAAATTTGATTTTAAAAAAAATTACAATTCAATTCCACCAAGACTCATTTCAATAATTTTGGAATAGATGAAATAGTTGAAAACTCTAAAATAAATTCTAAATCGATGAAAGCAATTAGGAAATCTTTTGGAACGCAATTCGTTATGAAGAATCAAAATTTCATTCATTACCGGACTTCTTCTCTTCCTTATCTAACCTTGGTGTAATTAAAACTGGATCTTCATACGTAATAAATGTGTTATTGGAATTGTTACTTTCAGCATTAGATTTGTCACCATTCAATATTAATGCAATCTGAATTTCATGAATGAAAAGGCATTTTTAGTACAAATTGTTTTTCTTAAATCAACGTTAAACAAATTGTAAGACAGATTGTTAAGAGTTTTAATAACAAAAATGTGGATGATCCGAATTGCTTTAAAGATATTCTTGCCTTAAAAGTTTATTTAATGGACTACATTACCCGTCACAATGAAGTCCAATCCAACATTCTTGGATTACGCCAAGCTCGGATTAAATACGTTTCAGAAAATATAGAATTTTTATAATTTATCTATTCTTCATTATTTATTTAGTTTAATATATTTCATTATTTTCATTATTTATAATTTGGTATTAAAAGACCTTATATTTTACAGTTTATTGAGTTAATTAAGTTAATATAAATATCATTCTACACTTTCATATTCTTCTTGTCTCATATTAAATATATACAGTGGCAATCATAAATAATGCAACAAAAAAATAAAATCCGTTAAATTTAAATATTTCTTTCAATTCTAG